CTTTTATTTGGAGGAAAGTGTCAAAATGGCTCTTGGTTCTTTAAAGGTGGGTGTGAATTTAGCTCAAATTGATTCTAATTTTGGCTCTGATTTTTTTATCTAAATTTTTTCGAGTCGATTTCGAGGTTTAAATATTTTGATATATATAGAAATTATGTATATAATGTGAAATAAAATCAAATATAATGTAACATCTGCGGATTTCAAGTTAGAAAAGATTCAATCAATTTGAGCCATCTAGTTTCAATTTGAAGCTAGAATGCATCCAAATAATGCAATTTGAGTAGGCTTGTTTTGATTTTGAGGAGGATTGAGCCGATTTCGAGTTGGAACAGATTCAAATAACTCAATCTGAGCCAGCTCGTTTCGATTTCGAGCTGGATCAAAGCTCGGTTTAATTTCGAGACCTATTGGCTCAAATAGAAATATAAATTACAATGAGTTACAAGCCGATTTCGAGCCACACTCAATCCATTCAAGCCAATTTCAGATCATTAACATCACTATAAGCTATTCTTATCTCAAATTTTATAAACATTTTAATTTAGGGTCAGTTTGGGACAGCTTATTTGGAGCGGTGGTGTTTTGAAAACGCACCTGACCTGTTTGGGTAAACTGCGTTTTGACAACTTATACGTTTTCAAAATGCTGAAAACAACATTTTCACACCGCACTTGTCTAGGTGCGGTTGCAGCTTTCTGGCTGCGGTCTAGCTTTTCCAAAAAAAATAAAAATTTGTTATAGCTATCGCTCCTAGCTTATCAGTAGATTACAAAATATTTTTAATCAGCTGACCAGCAGATTATTCAATAAGCTACAGCTGCCCCCAAAGGGTTCCTTAGTCTTCCATTTCTCAATATGGGTTTATATACTTTCCATGAAAAATTAATGGGATATTTACATATATAGTCCTTAATTCTTATGGATTTATGTATCTCACACAAAAAACTTCTTATATTTACACGCACAACACTCAATTCTTCAGTATCACATCGAAAATAACACTAATTATCACATTTTAATTGCAAAATTCACCTTTTCATGCATAGATAAAGTGCTATGCATGTAAATATGGAAATTTAGGTGTGAGATTATGTAAATTTTGCCCCGATTTAACACTTTACTCCAAATTCTTTATAATAATTAGAGTTAAGAAATGTTCAGTAATATAAATTATATATATATTTTTTCTTAATAGTTACTGTCTGTTGGGATACTTGCAGGCGTCTCATCTGCTGAAATATGATTCAATGTTGGGGACATTTAAGGCAGATGTGAAGATTGTTGATGGTGAAACCATTAGTGTTGATGGAAAGCCTATAAAGGTGGTTGCCAATAGGGATCCTTCGAAGCTCCCTTGGGCTGATCTTGGCATAGATATTGTTATTGAGGTAAATATCATAAATGTCACTTAAGTCTTATATATTTACATATTTAACGTCAAATTTGCATATTTATATATATACCACTCAAATTTTTGACTTCATATAACAAAAAAATAAAATATTGTGACTAAGAGTTTACTTGGGACAGCTGCAATTGTTTGAAGAAGCAGCTGCGAAGCTGTTGATATTCAAAAAATTGTGGTGACTATTACAATTATTTTTTCAAAAAGTCTGATCATAACTTGTAGAAGCCACCACACTTAACTAGATAAGGCTGCAAAACACAATTTTCATAAGCTGCAATGTTTTTTTTTTTTTTTTTAAATGATAAAACACCATTTTGTTTGGTGCGAGACCATGCCATAAACACGCGGTTTCCACGAACTCAACGTAATTTTTTTAATATAAAATACACATTTTCATGCGTAGATTTTAATACCGTGCCTTGAAAATGTTAATTTAGAACTTTAAATGTTAAATATGTAAATGCATAAGAATTGTTTGGTATGTTTGTAAATTTTCCTTTTTTAAAGGGCATTTACATGCATATCGCATCATAGCATTAAAATATCTGTCATCATATAAAAAATGCACATTTTCATGCCTAAATATTTAATAACTAAGTAATATAAACATAAACATCAAAATTTAGATGTTACCTGTTAATATATAAGCATTCCATGACATTTATGTAAATTCCTTTTTTTTTAATTGATAGCTATGTCATCAATAAATATTGATTAATATTTACAGATTTACCTACTTACATATTATATAATTCTTATGTATTTATACATCTAACATCTAAATTTTAATGATTATCTACATTATCATAACGTCAAAACATATGCATGAAAGACATTTTACTTGAAAAAAAGTCTTAATTTTTACGTGATGCTGAATATTTTGTTGGTATATAAGTAAATATTACAATTAACGTGGTAGACATGTAAATATATTAAAATTGCATGGCACATATGTTTCAACTATTTTGTCTAGAATGTTATAATTGTTTATCGTCAATGTGATAAAAATACATTTTTTCATGCATATATGACATGTATGTAAAAATTTAAACTTATATGTTAGATATGTAAATACATAAGAATTAAGTGGTATATTTGTAAATCTTCCTAAAACAATTTGGGTTGAATATGTGAAGGGAACTGGTGTATTTGTCGACGGCCCGGGCGCTGGAAAGCACATACAAGCCGGAGCTAAAAAAGTTATAATTACAGCGCCGGCCAAAGGAGCTGATATCCCAACCTATGTGTTCGGAGTTAATGAAGGAGATTACTACCATGAGGCCTCCGATATAATAAGGTTTGTTCAGTTCATTCAAATTAATTTTTGGGAAATTTACATTTATACTTTCTAATTTTTATCTATTTACATATCAAATAAATAAAATTTGACATTTACCTTTATAACATTGTGACGTAAACTTATACATAAGAAAGTGCATTGCATTTTGAAGGAGCGAGTGATTGTGATATTTTTGTTGTAATATTGAAGATTTGATTGGTATGCATGTAAATATGAATATTTAGGTGTTAGATAATTGAATGGATAAGAATTATGCGGTATGTTTGTAAATGCCGTATTAAAAAATTGGGATATATGTATTAACTTATGATCATCTAAACTTTAAACTTTATGTACATACTGCAACATATTCGTGTTCTCAGCATTTGTTGAGAGGTTTGTAGGTAAAATTTGAAGTTTAGCTGGTTGATATGTTAATACATAGAAATGAGGGGTTAGGAATGTGAATCTCCATAAAAAATCAGATATTAGATATTTGATGAACGTATTTTTTGAGTATTTTGTTGTGGTTTTTTTCGTCATTATCTTTTCTTGAGGGGTGTATATGCACACCACCTAATTCCTATGTATTCCCTTAAAGTGTCAAAATAGCCTTCAACTGTTTACATATTATTGTTTTAATCTCAAAATTTATAGATGTGTCAAAATAGTTCCCGACTAATTTAAATTTGAGTTCCAACAGTCTTCAAAGATGATCATTTCAAACCCAATTTAAAGACGCTGACGTATATGTAAAAAACTGAAGTTATGTGTAAGATATGTAAATATGTAGGAATTATTTTAAAATACATACCACTCTTATGTATTTGCATATCTAACACCTAAATTTTACATTTAACTTCTATAACATTCATACATTTATATTTTTCAAAAGTGAAATACACTTTTCATGCATAGGAAAATTGGTATTTATGTAAAAATTAAAAAGAATTGAGTGTTATTTATGTAAATGTTTCTGTACATTCTGCTCCCCACGTTTGAGTTATTTTGTAATTTGTTTATTTGTTTATGCACTGCATTAATGAATCAGCAATGCATCTTGCACAACAAACTGCCTGGCGCCTTTTGTGAAGATCATAGATGAGGAGTTCGGTGAGTTATATATACAATTATACAAATATTGTAATTTAATTTTTTTGAAGGGCATAATTGAAATTTTGTTTTGTTAAAACTTTGGTGAATGGATTGGTGTAGGTATTGTGAAGGGCACCATGACCACAACTCACTCTTATACAGGAGATCAGGTGATAACCTCTCTCTAATCATCATAAAATACTCCTCATTTATAATTGTGGAATTTTTTCTCCACACGTAGTTCTACGTGCGAACTTCAATAATATGTTGTTATGTATGCTATATTGCGAAGGTTATTGAAATGAAACCGTAGAGGTTATTAAAAAAAAAACTCATATATTTCATTACAATAACCCAAAATAAACTCAGCGGGTTCACTTTAATAACCCGAAAGTAACACTGCGAATGTTATTTTGGTTTATTTCCGAGTTATTGAAGTGAAAATATTTCACTTCGATAAATTATCAATAACCCCGAAATAATACCGCAGAGTTTATTTTGAGGTTATTGAAAAAAAATACATATATTTCACTTCAATAACTTTTGAAATAACACTAGTCTGTAGTTATTTTCGAATTATTTTAAGTACACACTTTAAAGCCATGCTCCGGATATAAAATTTTTACTATAATTGGGGCAATTCCATGTATAGGACTTGTACCATTATTTTTTACAAAACAATCCATGACATGAAACCCTAATTCCAGCCTACTGGACGCCTCACACCGCGACCTCCGCCGCGCGAGGGCCGCCGCTCTGAACATCGTCCCGACGAGCACCGGAGCGGCGAAGGCCGTCTCCCTCGTCCTTCCTCGGCTCAAAGGAAAGCTCAACGGAATCGCTCTTCGAGTCCCGACCCCCAATGTCTCTGTGGTCGATCTCGTCGTCAATGTCGCGAAGAAAGGAATCACCGCCGACGAAGTTAACGATGCCTTCCGCCGCTCCGCCGACGGTCCCCTCAACGGCGTCCTCGCCGTCTGCGATGCCCCCCTCGTGTCCGTCGATTTCCGCTGCACCGACGTCTCATCCACCATTGATTCCACTCTCACCATGGTTATGGGCGACGATATGCTCAAGGTGGTCGCTTGGTATGACAATGAGTGGGGTTACAGGTACCTTGTTTCTCCACCCATAAAATTTGAATTTTTTCTATTTAAGGCCCCGTTGGGCCAGCTTTGTGTTTTTCAAAACTCGCATTGTATTTTTTACACTAAACGTAGGCTGCGGGCCGCGATCAACCTGCGGCCGCCTTTCGGGATAAACTACTTATCATAAAATGCACAAGCTGCCTCAAAAAGACTCTTAGTTAATTCTTTTTCGACAGAAAGATTTATTAGGTGTGAAGTTCGTACAATTATGTTGTACATAATTGTATTTATGATTGACTCTAGTACAATCATATTAAATAAGGTTGAATGCGCTCATGAATATAAGTGTATTCAACTCATGAATACAAATATATACAACATGATTGTACTGGAATTTGCATGCAACCATTTGATTTGATTAATGCTTGAATTAAATAAAAAAAGTAAATTTTATATATATATAACACAAATGTTATGTATTTATGTATAGCATCTAAGTTTTCATATTTATATAGAATTATGCATAAAATGTTGTATTTTAGTTTAAGAAATAATTAATAGTGATAATTTTGATGTGATGTTAAAGAATTTGAATATTATGTATGTAAATATGAAAATTTAGGTGTTAAATATATGCATACAAAAAAATTATGTGCTATGTATGTAAATTAGTATTGTACTTTTAAAAAGTTAATAGTAGTGGTATTTTTGATGTTATGTCAAATATTTGAGTGTTATGTATGTAAATATTAAAATTTAGGTGCCATGTAAATATGAAAATTTAGGTGTTAAATATATGCATACAAAAAAATTATGTGCTATGCATGTAAATGAGTATTGTACTTTTAAAAATTTAATGGTAGTGTTATTTTTGATGTTATGTCAAACATTTGAGTGTTATGTATGTAAATATAAAAATTTAGGTGTCGGACATGTAAATATTGAAAATATGTACGTTACTTTTAAAAAATTAATATTTGTAAATATAAATATAAAAGTTTAGGTTTGATTTCTAATTTAGAGATTTTATTGAAGCTTGGAACGAAATGTTCTTCTGTTTTTTACTGGCAGCCAACGCGTGGTTGATTTAGCACATCTGGTGGCGAGCAAGTGGCCGGGGACGGCGGGGACGGCGGCGGCGGCGGAGGAAACCGGCGATCCTTTGGAGGACTTCTGCAAAACCAGTCCGGAGACTAAAGAATGTAAAGTTTATGAAGATTGATTTATCATTCAAACGAATTATTAAATTGGAGGGCAGATGATTTTTTATGTATGGATTATTAAATTTGAATTTAAATTTGGTGGCTATGCAATTTTACATTTTGACTCCTGATAAACAATTTATATACATTTATAGATCTAACACTTCAATTTTAATTTTTACATTTGTTTCACCCAAAACTAGAGGTGTAACTGAGTCAAGCTGAGCTCGAGAAGCGAGCTTGCGAGCCTGCTCGAGATTGGCTTGATAAGTCGTGTTTGAGATGGGCTCGACGAACTAACAAGTCAAACTCAAGTCGTTCCTTATTTGACTCTTTAACTCGTGATTCCGTTCATTTAAAAAATAATTAATATAATATATATTTATATATATTAAAATTCATTATTTTATCATTATATTATTAAAATATTTAAAATAATAATATTTTATATTTTATGTGGCTTGATTCTTATTTTTTACTTTCTAATTGCTCATATTATTAATCATTTTATTATAATATGGGCTTAAATTAATGTTGCTTTCTCCCTTTCACAGAATTCATAGAATTAAGCTCTAGCTTGGGGCTGAACAATTGTTCGCGAACAACGAGCTTTTTTGACAGCCCTACCTTGGGCGGCTTGAGTTTGACTCTACTCATTTACATGTCTACCTAGATCTCTCGTATCATATAAAAAATATCACTATTTTAACTTTTAAAAAATGAAATACTTTTTTTTTTAATGAAAAATTAACATTTGGATATCTAAAATGTGTTAGCGTTGATTCTAAGGAGATTTATCGGTCCTGAATGAGAAGAGTACGAAAAAGAAGGAATCATATAAAGAAGATTTGAGGCCCACTTATTTGATTGGATGAAACTGTATGAGCTAGAGCAAGTTCAAAGTCAACTGAGTCAGAAATGCTCGATCAGAAACAAGACAAACATTCAAGCCAATTGGTGTGAAGATGCCAACTCGAATAAAGATCTAGCTTCTCGATATGTTCAATTATATCAGTTGTGTCCATAGGCTCTCTTGTTTATCATTAAGGGTTGGCAAT